TTTAATCAACAAATCAATTTGCATTATATATATGTTTTAATTTTGTTTAATCACAAAATCAATTTGCATTTGGGGTTTGAGGTTTATGTGTAGAAGAGGTTAGGAGTTTGGTTGTAGAAGAGGTTATAAGTTAAGGAAGTTGTGGTTTGGGGTTTGGGGTTTCGAGTTTAGGGATTTATAAACCCTTTCCTCGTAAAGCTCTAGTAATAGAAAACACGGGCATATCAATTTCCTCGTAATGTTCTAGTAAGGCTTTACTAGGGCTTTACGAGGAAAAAAACGCGGGCATAGCTATTTCCTCTTAAAAGGGTTTCCTCGTAAAGCCTTAGTAGAGCCATTACGAGGACCTTACGAGGAAATAAAAACACGGGCATAGCTATTTTCTCGTAAGGTCCTAGTAATGTTATTAGGGATTTACGAGGAAACAAAATTCTTTATATATACGCGAGTAATCCGGTTTCTCATTTGCTAGTAACCTTCTCTCTAAGTCCTCTAAAGGTTCTCTCTAATCCGTAGTTAGGTGATTAGATTAGGGAATTTAGATTAGGTGGTTAGTTTAGGGAATTTAGATTAGGTGGTTAGTTTAGGGAATTTAGATTAGGTGGTTAGTTTAGGTAATTTAGATTATGTTAGTTTACTTTTAGTTACTNGTTCTCTCTAATCCGTAGTTAGGTGATTAGATTAGGGAATTTAGATTAGGTGGTTAGTTTAGGGAATTTAGATTAGGTGGTTAGTTTAGGGAATTTAGATTAGGTGGTTAGTTTAGGTAATTTAGATTATGTTAGTTTACTTTTAGTTACTGTTTTTTTAAATTATACGGGAATTAATGTTTTCAATTTTTTTTTTTTTTTAAATATAGATGCCTAGACAGAGCAAGCTTGCTAAGGCTGCTGCTAAGAGGGCGTCGACTCTCGAGGGGATAAGCTACGGAGATATGTTTGGGCGTCAAGATGGTCCGGGTTCATCCTCGTCAGCTCCCGGTGGTTCATCTTCGGCAGTTCCCGAGACTCAGCAGCCACCTCCTCCTCCTCCTCCTCCTCCACCGGTCGGGGTTCATCCCGATTTGCAGGTGCCGCCGAACGCACCCTTTGCGGTGTACACGGTGGAGGATATTTTGGCCCTTCCAGGCAGAGAAGGGCTGGCAGAGTTAGATCCTTACCGACGGAACGACCAAAACATTTTATGGTATGTTTTAATTTTTAAATTTTTTATTTATTTATTTCTTAATTAACAAAATATTTCTTATTTAACAAAATATTTGTGTCTTTCCAGGTTTGGTTGTGACAATAGTGTCGGATCTAGCGTCACAGACTGTATCAAGGGATACTTTCCCGATCCAGCTCCGAACTGGAAGATGATGGCGAGCCACACAAAAAAGACGTGGTTGAAATCGTTCGCTGTAAGTTTAGTTTGTTAATTTATTTTTAATTATTTTAAATTATTAATATAATTGAACTAATCCGTCTTTTATTTTTTCTGCTTACAGCAAAAGTATCGCTGGTCTATTGGGATTCACCAGCGAGTGAAGGAGTTTGAGGCCAAGGCAAAAGCACGATTGCTCGACACGGTCTACAACTGGAAGGGCGACTATGAGGTATTGATTTATAAATTATAATATATATATAGTTTTAAAAATACTATATATTGACTTTAATTCTAATTTTTTTTTTTAAATCAGGTGGATGGTTACGAGGCCGGGAAACCCGATTGCCTCACAACCACGGTGTGGGATGGCCTCATCAGCTATTGGACGTTGCCAGACTCGGTCAGAACCTCCAACACAAACTCCGGGAACCGCATAACCAAGGACGAGCATGGCAACACGAAGGTGCTTCACACCACGGGTGAAAAACCTCACGGGGGAATACGTCTTGACATGGTAAGATGATTTTTAATATCAATTTAATTTTTATTTTATTTGAATATATTCTAAATTAATATTTAATTTTATAAATTAATTTTAGGCTAAGGAGACAGGAGTTCTTCCATCTCTGAAAGACCTGTACGAGAGGACCCACCGGAACAAGGCTGGGCAGTTTGTAGATCCTGCTTCGGAGCGGATCTACAACGAGCTTGTTGCCCGAGTTGACGAGCGCCAGACCCAGCTGACTCAGCAGACTGGGTCTCCAGTCATATTATCCACTGTTGACGTGGATAAGATTTACGAGGAGGTAAATAATTTGTTTTACTATTAATTTTTAATATTTTTAAAAATTTTCTTAATGTTATTAATATTTTTATTTTTAGGTCGCCCCTACGAAAAAGGGGAGTATCATCGGGATTGGCTCGGTTAACGATGTCCCTGCAGCGACATCGTCTTATCATCAGGAGCAGCACGATGTCAATGATCAGCTGCGCTCGGAGTTGCAGGCGACGCAGTCTCAAGTGACTTCGCTCACCGAGAATGTCACTTCTCTCACCGATATCGTCGACATTATGGCGGTTGGAAACCCGCAAGTGCAGGAACTGTTGCGTCAGAGACGGGAACGTGCAGGGATTCCAAGTACCCAACATCCTCCGCCATCACAGTCATAGCCGGCAACCAACTATGGAGAGGATTTGCCGAGCCAGGACGACAACCGGTTCGTTCAGCAATTTCAGGACCAGCATCCGTAGTTTCTTTTATTTTTATTTGTATATTATGAATTCAAAAACTTATTGTATATTATCTAGTTATTTATAAAATATTTTGTTTTTTATTTTTATTTATAATTTGATTTTTTTTTATTTTTAAAAAATAAATTAATTATTTGTAATTATTTTTTTTAATAGGAAAAAAACATTTCCAAGCAAAATCCTCGTAAAATATTCCAAGTAATATCCTCGTAAACAGTTCTAGTAATTTCCTCGTAATGTATCACTACGACCTTACGAGGAAATGTTTACTACGAGCTTACGAGGAAAGCTTACGAGGACCTTACGAGGAAAATATTACCACGCCTTTACGAGGAAAGCTTTCCTCGTAAATTCGCTACGACCTTACGAGGAAAATGGCTTTANACAGTTCTAGTAATTTCCTCGTAATGTATCACTACGACCTTACGAGGAAATGTTTACTACGAGCTTACGAGGAAAGCTTACGAGGACCTTACGAGGAAAATATTACCACGCCTTTACGAGGAAAGCTTTCCTCGTAAATTCGCTACGACCTTACGAGGAAAATGGCTTTACGATGAACGTGTTTCGAGGAAACGCGTTTTCTCGTAAGTTCCTAGTAAAAGACCATTTACTAGGAACTAACGAGAAAAACCCGTCTTAGTAATGGACGAGTTTTCTTGTAGTGTATTCACAAATGATCGACATGCAGAACATGTGTAGGTAACGTTAGCATAATATTGTGGTTTCTTAAATACACAATTCCAACAATTCAAATGTGCTTTTAAATGCACTTTTAAGTGTTAACAAAGTCAAGATTATTTAGTATTCATGGTTTACTGTTATGGCTTACGGTTTGGTATTTCGAATTTCATGTTTAGATATAAAGATTAAGAATTTAAATATTTATTTTATTAAAAAATATTTAGCTTTTGATGACTTTTTTTTTGATCAAAAGCTTTTGATAACTATTTGGGGGAATATACATATGGAGAAGTAGCCATTGCAATGCGTGAGTATTTTTTTTTCTAAACGGTTATTTTGAAATTTGCTATAGTAGTTCTGAAATATGAACACTTCTGGAGTTTGTGGTGAGAAGATTATTTCTCAATTTTGTGGGTTCTCGTTGAATTGTGTTTCTTCACCATAATTGTTAGAATTATTTTAGATAGATATTCTTATTAATTTTTATTGTGTTTATTTTCTCTCAAACATTTTCGCTAAGCTTTGTCATTGAGTTCCTTGCTCAATCTCATTCCATTCTACACTACTTGACATTATTGTAGCTATAAAACTTTGCCCTCTTTTCTCACGCCAATCCATGCTTTAATTGAAACCATTATAGCTATAAATATTACATAGCGAAAACACCAACATGGGATAATATTTATAACGATTAGCAGCAAACTTGAGTATACTCATAAAACAGCTCACATAAAGAGAAGCGGAGTACTAAAAGGAACTTTTTGATGAGCAAGAGTGAAGACATAGTCAGTGTTGAAGTATTCAGTGTGAATAAAGCCAACACAAATGAATAATGATCCACGTTTCAATCATCGAGGAATGAGAAGGTACACAGTTTGACTCATAAGGATAAAGATGTAACCCTTGGGGATTTGTTTTTGCATATGGCTGCATCAGAAGAATATTTCTCCTTGCTGCTGTTCTATTACTTGTGCGCCTACTTATGCGACTCCCATATTCTGCAGGAGCCTTCAAAATCGAAGATGGAAAATTAATAAGACCAATAAATCAAGTATAGTTTAATTACATAATAACCGAAATAAAACAGCATGTTTATTCTAGCTCAAGAAACCAGGTGGGGAAACAAGAATTATAGTTTGACAAAGGGTTTTGACACACACCAAAACACATATCATTGAGAAAGGAAACAAACCTTCAGATATGCTTGATCATCATGGAGATCATATCCTCTCTGTGTGATGTACTCTGAAAACTCAGGAGATGGAGCTTTCAAGCTACTACAGCAGTCGCTGATGAGCCTGGTTTAAGCCACGTGAAGAAAGCTTGGTTGTCCTGTTAAAAGTGAGAGAGAGCTAAGCATTCACTGTGAAAAACTTCCATCCTTGAGGTCTTTGGCAGCTTAAGTAGGTGCAATGAACTTATTAAAGCCAGTGGTTGCAGCTACACGTCCTCGCTGTTTGCTATAAACCCAGCTTCTGTACCTGGTGGGTTGGAACCGCTTGTGTCATTGCCCCTAAAACAGAGGGCTGTGTGAACCCTGGGCCATGCTTGTTGCAATCATCAAGTAAGATCTGCTGATCAGTTTCTTAAGACCCTGCATTAACCCCACAAAATGGTTCAGAGTAAGTGTCCGGCAGTCCAAATATTGATGTATACATATTTATGTGTTAAAGATAGTGCCATGATCCTTTTCATCTAGACACAGTCACGTGAGTATGTAACATGAATTTCAAATAGGCTCTTGGCACTTTGATCTTCACTTTCAAAGTGAGTCTCATAATAATTATTTAAGAGAAAAAAACACTTCGTATGGTCTATTACTGAGGATGTATAACTTTCTGAAGAGGAACCATGCTAGTTTTAGGGTACCTTACCAACGGCGGAGTAAAGTCTCCATTTAGTAGGAAGCTCATCTTCTGAGCCATTCCTCTCCGCCTATAAAATCAGTTAACATATTTAAAACACAGTTTTTTCTATCTCAAAGAAGTGAAAGATATGGAGGCCAAAGAAAGGTAAAATTATAGATTTTTTTTCTTTTGGTAAAAGTAAAATTAAAAGTTATAAAGCCTTTACGGGATGGGTTGTGAGGGACAGCGCCTGAGAGTCTTTCTCGGCGGTGTCCACGAGCATCGTGAAGCATCTCTGTAGTCTGATTACGATACAACACAGCCTTCAAAAAGAGAATTGGAATGGAAACTTAAACTGAGAGAAGGATGCTGAATCTGGGTCTTAGGCGTTACAAAGCCATAAATCTGGGTCATTGGGTCTTAGGTGTTACAGGGGAAGCTTCTTTACTGACGATTAGCACCAACAGATCCTTGAGTCACCGTTGCCTTCACGAAGCAGTAAAAACCAGAGTTAGACTTATAACACAACAGTGAAATAATGAAAATAAAACAGAACCAAAAGTGAGATGATCTAGAAAGAGAATGGAAAAGGGGAAAGGGGCTCACATTCGCATCAACAAACAGCATGTCAACGCTCATCAATTCACCACCTTTCCTGACATTATCGGGGCAACCGAACCTCCGCCGTGTTGGTGCATCTGCCAGATTTCAGGTCGGAAAGTAACATACTTGAATGAGCCATCGTAATCTTAGGAAAATGAAGAGTCAATTTTTTGTTTTTTTAATCTCTAAAGATGTGAATTTGACATTTGTAGGAGGGGTTATTTATACCTGGTCGAAAAAGCAATCGATCTTGGAACCGGAAGAGTCGAATTGAATGAGGCAATGAAGAGAAAGCATAGCTTTAGGTGGATTAAAGGAGAGCAGAAGGATAGCTCGTAACGGTCACCAAAGCAGCAGAGTTTCTGGGAAACCAGAGTAAAACGCAGAGTCGTTGTAAGACGGTAGACATTCAACGTTGAATGTAACGAAGAAACAAAGAGGCCTAAAATCTGGTAAATTAAACCTAAGCCCAAAAACTACACGGAAAGCCCATAACCTCTTTGCCAGGTATTTTTTTCCCTCCAAGGAGAGAATAAAAGTGAACTTTATTAGTAAAGATATATATTCATAAACAATATGCAAAAATATAACCAAATATAACCAACCATATATATAGGTTTTCACTTGTTAGGGACCAAATCAACACACAAGCCACAACATATAAACCAAAAACCAAACCAGAATTGAACCAAAAAATTGAACTGATATTTTATCAATATCCAAACGTTCATATATCTCTTGAACTGAAAACCCGAAATCAAAGTAAAGCAGGTGTATACCAAAATACAATTTATATACCTAAAATATTGAAAATGTTAAGTTTTAGAAATACCAAATATTCTAAAATATTACTTATAAATTGAACTACTCGAAAACCGGATAACCCGAATAATATGCGGAAAAATATAAACAAACATTACCAACCACATAGATTTTATTGGTCAGGGACCAAATCAACACATAAGGCATATAAACCAATAACCAAAAACCGAACAAGAAGAGAACCAATAATATCGAACTGATATATTAAAAATATCCACATGGTTCATATATTTGTGGAACCGTAAAACAAAACCCAAGTTAGAACCTCATCGAAAATCAAATGGATACTGGAACTATAATTTATATATCCAAACATGTTAATTATGTTTATTTTTAAAATTACTAAATATTCTAAAAGTATTACCTATAAATCAAACTACCAAAAAAAACTGGATACCTCGAATATTTTTATCTTGATATCCCAAAAAAAATTACCTGAATATTTTTTTTATCCAAAATATTAAAGTTTATCCAATTTCACCGATATTTTATCAGAAAATGTGAAAATATTTTTTACTCAAATTATCTGAGAAACCGGAACCAAATTGGAACTGAAATTTAATTGGAGATTAGCATGTTCCTAACATTGTTATCCAATGAAACCGAAAACCAAAATAAGCAAACCGAAATTGAATTGAATTTCAGAAATAATCGAACTGCAATCTCTAAAACTGAAAAACGAAAATCCAATGAAACAAATCGGAATTGAACCGATAACCCAACGCTCATAACGTATCTACATAAACGACATTTCTACTTAATAACAAATGCACATGATTTTTTTTAACCAAAGAAATACGTACACATATAACAACTAGGGGCAACCAAAGTACCACTAGTTGGTCAATAAAAAAACTAGATTTTGACCCGCGCTTAAAAGCGCAGAATTTTTTTATGATTAAAAATTTATATAATTGGGTTTTGTCTTAATTTAAAGAATATTTTGATATAAAATCAGTTCATCAAAATTTGTGATGATGATTGTTTTTCATTAGTTTTTAGTTTTACTTTTTATTTTTAGATTTTGGTTTTTAGTTTTTAAGTTTCTACTTTTCATTTTCAGTTTTTTGTTTGGGTATTTAATTTTTAAACCCGCTAAGTTAGTTTGAACTGATATTACCAACAAACAAATCTCAAATAATCGAACATCTAATTTAAAATTGAAAAGATGAAAACAATTTTTTTAAAAAAAAATTGAAATAGTTTATTTTGTAAATAAACAAAGCAAAAAAAATATAATATGTGTTTTCATCTTTTGATTTTGGATTTAAGTTTTTAGATTTGGTTTTTGGTTTTGCTTTACATTTCTTAATCAGTAAATTATTTAATAAAAATAAAACAATAAATTATTTAAAAGTTACAATTGAAATTTATCAAAACAAAATGATTGTTATTTAAAATAAAAAAAATATTAACATGTTTTAAAGTACATGATTTAAATAAATGATTAATAATAGTTTTGTTAAAAATATTAAATACCTTTTGGGTCTGAAAATAATAATTGATTTTTGATCTTTTAAGGTGAAAGTTTATTCAATGTTTTTTGGAGTTTTTTCTTAATACTAAGCCCAAAAACCAAACTATATAATTTGTTCAAAAAATAAAAGTAAACCAAGACTATATTCCATAAATAACCACTGGTTTAATTTAAGTATAATTAGTAGATTTCCATATTCCATATTTTGATGATATATATTCGTTTAGAATATTCCATATTTGTAGGAGAAAATATGTGTTTTTGGTATACACATAGATATCTGTTGTATTTTGAAGGTAGTTTACATTAATTGTGTTGGTTTAATTTAAGTAAATACGGTTCAATCAATTATATGACTTATATTATTTGTAACATTCTAGAAAGGGTCCAAATTTAAATGACAACTTATATCAGTAGATAAAAAATGACTCTATTTTAATAGAATAGATGATCTCTTTCTTATGTAGTATTATCAAAAACCGGTTTTATTTTTATCACAATATATATATGAGCCAACATAAAACAAGTCATGCAACTTATTTTGGTCCAAATGTTAAAGTTATGCAACTTATACATATGTAACAAACAAAAAAACTGATAATGATTTTAATGAACCATCTATTCTACAAAATAATACTTACTTATTTTAAAGTGATTTTATAGATTTTTGTTCCATATTTAATGAATTCTAATAACTTCATTTATTGTCTTTTCTAAATAATTCGACATCATTTTTTACAGAAGTAAAAAATATAATTTACCTATTTTGAAGTGTTTTATTATATCTTTTACATTTGTTTTCTCACTTTTTTTTTATCTATTTCAATAATTATTTTTACTATAATATCTGATGTCTTGCATATTTTCATTGTTTCACCTATTCATCCATGTGCATTTTGATCATATAGACTAGGATTTAGTCATTTTTAGGTTGCATTTTGCATACATGAATCTTTATCAGGTGTTAGAGTGTGCCATGAGTGATTTGAGATATTTGGGAGCATTGTGATCCAAAAGGGAGTGAAAGATGAACATGGATGGAGCCTTTATAGAAATATTCTGTTGCTAAGATTTTGTGGAGACACAGAAAATCAAGTTAGATTTCTAATGGAAGTGGTTTCAAGTCATTTGAAGATGTAATGAAGGAGTTATGACCAATTTACTAGATGCATATCCACCCTATTCGAGCATCCTGGAGCGACCTCTCAGAGCGACCTACCAAGGTCGCTCCCAGCAGAGCGACCAGCCCAGAGCGAGTATCTCAAGTCGCTCCAGCCAGAGCGACCAGCCCAGAGCGAGCAGCTCAAGTCGCTCGCGTTTTGACGGGGTGAGACACGAAGAAACGCGCCGGGAGCGACCTCCTGGAGCGGCTATGCTAGGTCGCTCCGCGTGTTTTGTTTGGACGATTTTTATGTTATCTCAGGGGCCTTTAGGTCATTTGTTTTGTTGTTTTACATTGTCTAAACCTAAGTTAAGTACTTTTGTAAGCCATGGGAGGCAGATTATCTCTTTTATAGAGAACAACTAGTAAAACTTCTTTTGATTAGAATTCATTGCTTTCATCTTGTGTTCTTGTTGATTTATTATCTATTTCTCTACATGATTAATCTGAAATCCAATATGAGTTTAAGAGTAATCATGGAGATTAGTGAGTAATCACCTTTTGAATTCATGGTTTAGGGAGATTAAGGGTGATTAGGTTAGTTCTAGGTTATTTTGGTGTAGATCATTCTTGTTCCTTGCTAGTAGAGTATTCATAATGCATCTTCTGAGTTGTCCACTCAAAAGTTGATCAATAGGCATTTCCCACCCAAAAGGTGTTTGATGAAATGTCTGAGACAACTCTCCTAGGCGTTTAGTATACTTTGTCAAAGACATTTGTTGTTAAATGTGCTAAGATAGCTAATAGACTTGTTAGTAATGATTGCTTTCATATTATTCAACTAAAGACATTTGATATTTGAGATATGTTAGCAAATGAGCATTCATCTAGACATAGAGCTTGTTTAGAATTGTGTCTAGGCTTAAGGTCGATAGTTTGATTGATCATTTTCCATCCTTAGTTCGAAACTTGATCACCCAAGGTCTAATCCCTATGCCCATGAGTTCTCTTTTCCCTTAGTCAAGAAAGTATCATTCTGTTGTTGCTTTCTAGTATTAGTAGTTGTTTAAAATCATCTAAATCATTGGTTGCACTTAAATTAAGTTAGTACTTGCATTTTCGGTGCTTTGATATCCTCAGAATTGGTTCGACAATCTTTTATGCTACATCATTTGTCTTAGGAGCCTTGAAAACTCCTAACATCAAATTGGCGCCGTTGCCAAATTCTGAGTAAATTTAAACATTGAGATTTAGTCACTTGCTTGAGACTAAGTCATTTTTCTTTTACTTTCTTACTGATTCTCTACCTTCATCTCTCTTTGGATTTCAGGTGTATGAACTTGAGGAGCAAAGGCACAAAAAACCTTGTTCCAAAAGAGTTCCAGATTGAAAGAGAGATAGCAAGACAGAGAAAACAAGCATAGCAACAAGCTCAACTTTAGAGGTTGGATACTGACATGGAAATCTCACCAGAATGAGTTAACAACCATGTGCACCCACCAGTGCACCCAGCCCGCCCAGCTCGCCCCATTGGTACCTATGACCGCCCAAACCTTAATGGCAATAGGTTGGGAACCAAAGCACCAGCTGTGGAGGCCAACAACTTTGAGGTCAAACCAGGACTCCTCAACGTGATCGAGAACAACATGTATCATGGCTTTCCTATAGAAGACCCATTTGACCACTTGGACAAGTTTGACAGCTAGTGTGGATTGTCAAAGACCAATGGTGTGTCCGA